GGGCTTGGCTGGGTAACAGCCACAATCTGCACGTCCGTCAACGCTGTGCTGACTCCAGGGCTTCAAAGTGCACACTGTGAAACACACCCACCAGGAAAAGCTAAAAGAAAAAGGAATCAAATACTCCTCATAGCTCTGGAAGAAATGACTGATGTGACCCAAAATCGCAGAGAGGGAGAACTGACCTAACAGATAGCATACCAATTTCAAGCTTTTGCAAATTAAAATAAATGTCATAGCCGTGAGGTCCTGCATGAAAACTACTTTCAGCCAATGGCGAACGTTTTATTAACAAGCCACGCAAACTAATGGGCAAGAACAAATGAGACCGCCGCAGAAAGACAATTCCAAAAGAGGGACTATAATATCTAATAAATAATCTGAAGATCTACCAAGGAAAACAGTAGCAAGGCCACATACATAAATATAATTTCGGGGAGGGGGAGGGTAATATTCAAACCTGGTAAGATTTTGTGATACTTTCAAATATGCCAGTTGCATTTTAAATCTGCTCTAACCATTCCGAAGCATCATTTGGCAATATACATCAAGGGCTATAAAAACATGCAAACCCTTTGATAGAGAATGCTTCTTTTTATCATTGAGTGTAAGGAAACCATCTCGACTACAGAAAAGATTAGATCTTATGAAGGCTATCGATAATTGGAAATTTATCAGGGAGCCTGGGTGGTTCAGTCGGTTAAGTGTCTGCCTTTGGCTCAGGTCATCATCTCAGGGTCCTGGGATAGAGCCCCGCATCGGGCTCCCCACTTAGTGGGGAAGCCTGCTCTTCCCTCTGCCGCTCCCCCTGCTTGAGCTCTCTTACTCTCATTCTCTCTCTCTCTCTCAAATAAATATCTTTAAAAAATGATTGGAAATGAATCATGTGATGCATACAATCTCCTTTAGTTCATAAAGTAACCCTATGAAATTAGTATACTGTCATTATTCCTATCCTACACATGGAGAACCTGAGACTTAGGAAGACCATGCAATTTGCTCCAAGGACTTAAGATCCAGGAAGAGGTAAAGGCAGGCTCAGGAACATTCTGGCTCTAAAGAACTACACACTGAACTTCTGCATTAGAATTATCACCATGCCGGAACATGCTTAGCACAGAAGCATTTGTTTTACTAAAAAAGGTTCAAGAAAAGAGGGACATCTGGCTGGCTCAGTTGGCGGAGTAACTGACTGTTAATCTCAGGGTTGTAATTTTGAGCCTTAGGTTGGGTGTGGAGATTGCTTAAAAATAAAATCTTTTTTTTTCCTTGTGATGATTTTCTTTTCTTTATTTTTAAATAATTTTTAAATTTTTAATAAACATACAATGTATTATTAGCCCCAGGGGTACAGGTCTATGAAACGCAGGTTTACACACTTCACAGCACTCACCATAGAACATACCCTCCCCAGTGTCCATAACCCCACTACCCTCTCCCTACCCCCCTACCCCCAGCAACCTTCAATTTGTTTGGTGAGATTAAGAGTCTGTTATGGTTTGTCTCCCTCCTGATCCCATCTTGCTTCATTTATTCTTTTCCTCCCCACAAACTCCCCATGTTGCATCTCCACTTCCTCATATCAGGGAGATCATATGATAGTTGTCTTTCTCCGATTGACTTATTTTGCTAAGCATGATACCCTCTAGTTCTATCCACGTCATTGCAAACGACAAGATTTCATTTCTTTTGATGGCTGCATAGTATTCCATTGTGTATATATACCATATCTTCTTTATCCATTCATCTGTTGATAGACATCTAGGGTCTTTCCATAGTTTGGCTATTGTGGACATTGCTGCCATAAACATTCAGGAGCACCTGGCCCTTCGGATCACTACGTTTGTATCTTTAGGGTAAATACCCAGTAGTGCAATTGCTGGGTCATAGGATAGCTCTATTTTCAAATTTTGAGGAACCTCCATGCTGTTTTCCAGAGTGGTTGCACTAGCTTGCATTCCCACCTACAGTGTAGGAGGGTTCCCCTTTCCCCATATCCTCGCCAGCATCTGTCATTCCCTGACTTGCTAATTTTAGCCTTAAAAATAAAATCTTAAAAAAATTTTTCAAGAAACAAAGGAAAAGAGGAATTATATATAGTAGGATAGTAGAAATATGTGTCAGTAACAATGGATAACTTCCCTGACCCCAAACTTTTTGCAAAGTTTAGGTTTATAGTCTAAAATTTATTGGAAAGGAAAAACAAAAAACAAAAAACCACCTCTTGAATGTTTTCAACAAATAGAAATAAATCCCAAGAAATGTGTAAATAACTGGGATATTATCTTTGTATTTTAATATCAACAATTATAAAAATTGGGGGGAAGTAATAATCATTTAGAACTTTCCTTAGATGACCACACGAACTGTGAAATGGGTTAATGGTCTTAGTTTCTGCCTCAAAATTAGTCTGACAAGAAGCCAGGAGGCACACTTGTCTGCCTCTAGAGTATGGAGAAGAGCTATGTGCCCATTATTCTAAAGATGCAAAGTGCTTGGTAAAGAACTCATGCATCATTTTCGAATTAACATGGGGACACAGGCCAAACATGCTTACCAAGTAAGAAATACAATGTAAAATGTCAGAAAGACCAGGATGCTGACCACACAGCAAATTGCACAGACTGCTGAAAAGGGTAAGTATTTCCGGAAGATTAAATAAGAGATCTGACTGAATGTAAAAGGGAAATATACATATATAAAAATATAACATAAACATATAAAAATATAACACTTAAAACACATCACAAAATTCAAATATGTAAACAGGGGTATCCAAATGGTCATAAAACAGTCAAACTATACAACGTCGTGGTAGCAAGCAATAAAACCTGTGTGTTCTGAGCAAATTTTTTTGCTGATTTTCATCCGTAACACAGTTTTCCAGTCAAGGCTACAGATTTCTGCTTTTTTCACATCCTGCCATGATTTATACTTAGCTATCTTCTATAGTCACCTTTAAGCCAGACCACATACAATTGCACTGGGGCAAGGAAAGGAGACATCTGGCAGCTGCTTTGGGTGCTACAATGTAGAAGTAAGTAAACACATAACTACAACTCTGCCTTATGAAGCTATTTTTATCTCTACATCTTTGTCGGTACGTTTTATTTTTATTTTTATATTTTATGTTTTAATTTTATTTTTTCAGTGTTCCAGGACTCATTGTTTATGCACCACACTCAGTGCTCCATGGAATACGTGTCCTCCTTAATACCCACCACCAGGCTGTCAGGATGTTTTAAACATGCAAAACTGAGAAATTTGAGAATTTCTACTCTCAACTCTGGTAGGCCTACTGATATGATTACAGGAATAGCTAAAATTATTAACAGGAACTGCAGAATTTGAGGGAAGAGTCTGAGACAACCTAGAAATTTTTTCTGACTCTGATTTTCTGAGAACTGCCTATCAATCTTGGGCAGAAAATAAAATCCCGTTAGAGAGCAGGAGGAAGGACCCTGCAGGGGTGAGTGGCCTGGGAGTCTCTCGTGCAGGGTGGGCCTAATTGGCAGTCACCTGCTGTGCAGGGTGTGGAGTTGGTGGAGGAGTATCTGGTGGGGACCACAAGGTTGTGTCAAGGTCATGGTGAGCTGGGAGGTGAGGAAGGGAGCCTGCCTTTGACAGGCCTCTCGGTCCATTCTTGGCTCTTGAAAGGCTGAGCAGGGGTTGCGGCTCTGGTTTTAATCTTAGTGTAGGAATTTATTTCATACAGTACCCTGCGGAAATCTCCCTAGAATCTGTTTCCTTGAAACACAAGCAAGCAAAAACAATCCCTCAAGAAGTCATGGAGACCCAGATTCCAAGTTTGTTCCTCTTTAAGACCCCCAGGTAGGAGTTTTATAAAGGCTAACGGCAACATCTGGTCTAAATCCATATGCACCTGCACTGTTTCTTTTGGAAGCAAAGCTGGATTTAACAAAATTTTAACAGAAGAATGACATCTGTATTATCCCTTGCCATCATAAGAGAAAAGTAGACAGAGGGAAAGAGTTTCACTAATTTCTCTGTAATATCCTGTTAAAGTTTATACTCAATATTCCACTCTCCTGACTTAAAGAAAAAAAAGGTGGGAAATCTAATTTTTAAAGAAACACTAAGAAACTTTTAATACAGAATAAGCACATTGTCATGTCATTTATGTGCTAACAGTTCCCAGAAACTTTAAGAGGTCTTCAATGAAATTAAAAGAATAGACTATCTTTCTTAACATGTTTACTTAGTATCTTCCCATCTAACTTCTTACCTAATAAAGTGACAGAAGTGAAGAAAATGAATCAGGGCATACATACATGTGCGTGCATACACATACACTTGTATATACGTTCACGAGCTAGGTCCAGTTATCAAGATAATGTCAGCCCCTCAGTAATAATTCCTAACCTGCAAAACATTAAGTTTTGGCAGAAAACAAAAAATATTCACCCTTCTATTCTTTGCTCTTTCTCCCCAAACTCAGCCACCCTTCTTGTATTCTTGTGTCTTTTCTCTAAGACTTGTAACGATATGAATCCAAGAACTCGAACACCCATCTTGTCAAGTGGCCTTTACAATGCAAAAGAATGATATGTGTTCTCCTTACACACGTTCACCAAAGAGTCCTTGAATACATGTGCCACATATGTTATCTTTTCCAGGAACGTGTAAGTGTCCATCGCTTTTAATGAATTTCTCCCCATACAATCACCATCTGCTTCCTTATCTCCTTGTAAAGCATGTGAGGTCTACTTGATGGAGTCAGGTCTGAGTCTGATTCTCTGTGAACCTCTCAAATTCCTGCAAAAGCTTACAACTCCCATCTATTTATGTAAAAGATCTGAACAGAAAACCCACCTCCTCAGGAAGCACACTTTCAGGGGACTAAATAATTGAAAAGAAAACTTAATCCATGATCAAGGAAATCCTACTGTGCCAAGAACTATTCATGCTCTCAGAAAACACAGAAAGCAGTTTTAACCTTACAGCATCTACCGTATAAGGAAAAGGGGGGGGGGAGTTACCTTTTTGTGCAAGGCGTGAAATTCGCTGTATCTTTTTTCAACAAAGTGTTTTCTTCCATTCATTAGCACTTCTATCTTAAACACCTAAGGGAAAAAAAAATAAAAAAGATTAATTCCACCCATTCAAAACCCTCAATCGTCTGATGTGGTAAGTTTGTGACCATGATATATTTCATCCCTTTAATTACAGTAGCTGATTCCCCAAAACCCAGAAGGCTCAGGAGACCCTGGGCCAACAGCACTGATTAATGAGTGCTCAGGTCAAATGCTTTAGTTAGTACAAACTGAAATAGCCTCTTAACGTTTCTAACAGAGACGGAAACGTGTTCACGGGCTCCTTAACTTTCTAATCAGAGCACATTCCTCCCTTAAGATTGTTTCACCAAATGGGTATGATGGTATCAAAATAAGGCATTCGGATAAGAATGAGAACCTGGGAGAAGGGACAGGCCCCAGCATCCCATTACAGGTATGAGGACGATGACGGCCGTGCTGTGTCATCTCTAAGACAATCAGGCAAACGGCAGTGCATTTTAGGTTAATTTCTTCCTAACCTGCATATTCATCTCTAGTCTCAGCTGGGCCTTATTCTGCTGTTTGCAAAACAAGGAAAATGTAGTAAAGGCTCATTTTCCCGGCATGATGCCAGTGACAGCCTGCGCTCCCACCTCCAGGAGGTTGAAAGGCCAGAAGAAAAGGCTCTCTGAGTGTGCTAATTAGTGGGCACTAACATGACATTTTCTTGATTCTTAGGTCAGCGGGTCAAGACTGGGAGCAAGGGATGAGAAACATTGTGAAATGCTGATGAAAACACAATGTTCCGCTGGGGTAAGGGCAGGAGGCTGGGTGAGAATGGAAGAGAAGGTGATCTGTTATTTTCAAGACGGTGTCTTTGACTCCTGTTTTGCTGAGCAAGTTGTGGACGACGCCAAGATGATAGATATTGTTCAATGGGTTCGTAAGCCTAATTTCTTGTTTCAGTTGCTCTTCTGGAAAAAACCAGAGTTGAGGTCACAGGACAGCAGAAAGTATTAGAAGCATGCTGACTTTAATTCTAAAGAAAACTTAAGTTAGCTCATGAAACACAAGGGCACACACTGTCATTATGAAAACACATTCCCTATGGCTCTACCTTGCTCCCTGACTCATATGACTTTTCTTGAAAAGACAAAATTATATCATCAAACGCATAATGTGTTTGTAGATTTGTACTTTTTTGAATCAGAAACAAAATCTTATGTCGTATGACTCAGCTGAAGAAACCTGCTTTTATTAAAGCAATTGGTAAATACTTACCAGTTCAATCAGTATCTTATTTGGTTTTTCAAGAAACCTCCTTAAAAAATACTTTCCTTTGGTCAATTTGTGAAAATACTCTCTTCTAAAAACAGATCCATATGCTTCCAAGTCTTGAATGTATGTCTACTATTTTTAAGAAAAATATTCCGTTCACTAATTCACCAAAGAAAATTCCTCTCCTTCAAAGACGCTGCCAGGAAGAGGGGGAGGGAAACACCCTGAGAAACACGGACACGAGAAGATCAGCTTCAACACACGGGCTTGGTTAATAGGACACAGAGTGCCTTTTTAGCGTCAGGCCCCGGAGTTCAATCAGGACAATGTGGGAGCAGGAGAAGTACTTTCCATCTGCAGAACGGCAGGAAAGAAATGAAGTTATGCTCCGAGTCCAGTTACAGGAGGCATCATCATAAAACCCACCACTTTAATTGGCACGTTTGCTGCAGAAGCCACAGAAGCAGAAAGCTGAAGACTCAGAAAGGCTCAACCTACTGGATCACCCTCTTGAAGGCCGGGGATGAGACACATTACACAGCAGCTGCCTCATGGAATGTCATCCCTTCTATAGACCAGATGGCTCCATTACCACTTTCCACAGTTACTCTTCAATCACTCAGTTTATGGGGGGTGGGGATGGGGGGGCGGTTTGGACACACACACACCACACATGTACCTGCGTGGTACGTTTTCATGCTAATATTTTTATTTTGTTGCTACTTCAAAAAGGTACCATATACCTTATAATGTTCAGACTTCTTTTAAAATTTAATATCTTGGGAAGAAAGCTGGTTAATCAGAATTTCCAGGACAAAGTGAAGGAAGAAATGGAACCAATGTAACAAATCTTATTTTCCTGAATTCCACAGCCGTAGTTTCTTTTTGTTGTTGTTGTTGGTTTTGTTTTTGTTTTAGTAAGTTTCTGATACATGTTGTCTCTGCTCCCTGGAAAATCTTTCTCCTGCTTTGTTCTTTTGGCAAACTCTGAGTAGCTATTACCTACCTACCTCTAAGGTAGGGACAGCACAAGAAATGCTGGGAAAGCATGCAGCATAGTATCTGGTATTCATTCATTCATTCATTCATTCATTCATTCGTTCATTTATTTAGCAGATACTTATTGAGGGGCTGCAACGCACTCAGGGGTTACTCTAGGCTCTGGGGATTCAGCAGTGAACAAAAGAGGCAAGAGCTCAGGCTTCCAGGTGCATCTATCCCACCTGGTGAGGGCGGTCGACTATAAATATATGAATGAATACAATGAAGTCAGGAAATAAAAAGCCCTGTGGAGAACAAGGCAGCAGGGTAATGACACAGAGCTGAATGAGGGTGTTGTTTCACACAGCATAGTGTCAGAGAAGGTCTCCCCAGGCAGAGTGGCAGTCAGAGGTGCAACATCTGGACACAAATGCCCGGAAAAGTTGAATGTAGCTTCCTCTGGAATTTCAGACTGGGAGTGGGTGGACAAGGACTTTTTTTTTTTTTTTTTTTCCTGTTTACAGATTTTTTTTTTTTTTAATTAAAGCCTAGAGCAGGGTGATTTCCAAGTCTGGTCAAGATGGTGTTACAGGGAGCAGATCCACTCTCCCACCAGAAACAACTCAAAATATGTGGGAAAGATGTCTCTCAAGACATCAGACACGAGGAAATGAAGAAGAGAGAGAGACCAAAGAAACGAAGTTGAGCCCTATGGTTATGCAATCAGAGCCCTGAGGGGAAGTGAGGGGAAGCCAGTTCCGTGGACAGGGTACTGGGCCAGAGTGAGCTGCACACAGACAGGACTTCAGCGACCTGCCAGAGGTCTCCCTCCAGCATTTAGCTGAACCCTTGTCAACACATGGCATTGGGGAAACTTACCCAAGGACAAGAAGACCTTAGTGAGAAGAGTGCTCAGAGCTTACAGATAACTGCGCCTACAGCCTGTTACCAAATGCCAGGGTAGAAAACCTCATAATTCATGAAACATTAGTTAGAGTTCTCAAAAAGGTCTTGCCTCAGTAGTAGGACAAACTTAACAGTAGACTAACGGCTCTTCCATTCATTCCTCCCTGGAGGTTCTGTCCCCAAATGGGCTTCTGAGGAGCATAAGACACCTGGCAAGGCCAGGGCTCATGGTGTCATGAGGTCTTTATTCTCAAATCTTTGGAGGCTGTGCCCCTTTCAATGGAACCAGACCAATAATCTCTACAAAAAGCATATAACTCTGTAGAGTAGAAGGATACTTTTTTATATTACCTCGTCCTGTCAGGATCTGTGCCCACACTGCCCCCTCAATCTCCTTATAATGTGGTTCCAAATGTTAGCTTGTAAGGCTTTCACTTAAAAAAAAAGAAAATAGTATGTACTTATCAAAAAAGGTTTCAAAAATTCCAAAGACTGTAAACTTAAAAGTTTAAGTTTCTTACATAAGAGACTTGTGTAGTCCGTGCCAACTCAAGAGGGATCTTAAGAATTCTTTCACAAATTGTCCCCAGACATATAAGCTCTGTATGTACACATGTATACAGAAGTTGTTACTTTCTTACACTAATTGTAGCCATATCATAGGGTCCTACTACCTCACTTCTATGAATTTTATTTTTTACCTTATTTACTTAGTACATGCTGAACATCTTATCAGCACATTTTGCAATGCCTAATTCTTTAATGGCTACCTAGTACTCCTATATATACTTGACCAAACTTTAATTAATTAGGACCCTAAGGTAGATATGAAGTCACTGTACTATTTTGTACCATACACACTCAAGTATATATGGATGTTTATATAGTTGATGCATGAACAACATGGGGGTTAGGGGCACCAACCCCCCGTGCAATCAAAAACCCATGTATAACTTTTGACCCCCCCCCAAACTTGGCTACCAATAGCCTACAGTTGACTGAAAGCCTTCCTGTTAACATAAACAGTTGATTAACATTATTTATATGTTACATGTATTATATACTGTATTCTTACGATAAAGTAAGCTAGAGAAAAGAATATGTTAAGAAAATCATAAAGAATACATTTAGAGTACTGTACTATACTTATTGAAAAAAAAATCCACATAAAAGTAGACCCACACAGTTCAAACCCACACTGTTCAATGATCAACTGTATATGTTTATGTATTTTATTTATATATAAATATAGACATAATCCTTGTTTCCGTACACATACTTACACACACACACACACACACACACACACACACAGGATAAATTACCAAAAACTTTGCCAATTTACCACCCCCCCCAATCCACAAAGTTACACAACAGCTAACAGGATAGAATGTCTGGCCCATCCTAACCAACACTGGCTATTGGTCACTTTGGCAAGCTGGTGAGTGAAATGAGAATTAATTGGATGTGTTTTAACCAGTGTGTATAGTGGCATAAGTTTCCATTCCAACTATCTCACATAAAATCACACAGAGGTCCCACCTCCCTGTCTAACCCTCTATTCTTGGAGATATCCTTGTCCTCAAAGACTTCCAGAAATCCCTCTGGATAAAGCAAGGAAGGCTTCATGTAACTAAAAAAAACATATTAAGATTTCCATTTAGGTTTGCTTAAAAAAAAAAAAAACAACAACACATACACAAATTATATTGTTCAGGTGACTAAATTCTAGCCACAGTCCTGGGAACATTATTAAGTCATTACATTTTAGTTGAAAAGGAAAATAGATATGTTAAAGACAAGATTTCCATTCCTAATTGTAGTTTTCATTAAACGTTAGAGCCAGTTTTTTTTCCCTTTGTGATAGGATCTCTGCGATCTGGAAGTCTATGATAAAATATTTC